TATATATATATATATATATATATATATATATATATATATATGTTCGTTCGCCTGGTATGCTGCTCTGCTGTCTCTTCAGAAAGGAGACAGTCCCTGGCTTCTCTCTCTCTTCTCTCTTTTTGCTGCTGCTGCTGCAGCAATTACAGCAGCTCTTTACTTCTATGCTCGCAACTCAACTCTATACTACCGCTTCATTACACACACTCCACCATGGGGGGCCCCCCTGGGGGCCCCCCTATGGGGCCCCCAGCAAACAGATATAGAGGGGCCCCCCCTGGGGGCCCCCGTATGGGGCCCCCATCACCCAGATGTAGGGGGGGGCCCCCTGGGGGCCCCCCTATGGGGCCCCCTGTGGGCCTTTCTAGGGGCCCCCCTGGGGGCCCCCCTGGGGGGCCCCCACCAGGCAGAAGGGGGCCCCCATCAGGGTGAGGGGGGCCCCCTAGGGGGCCCCCTGTGGGGACCAGTAGGGGGCCCCTATGAGTTGCAGCTGAGCAGCTGCAGCACGGAGGCTGGGGGGAGTTGAGGTGTATGTGGAGATGAATAATAGAGTATATATATTTATTTATTTATTTATTTTATGTTGAGAGACGCATGTGTCTTTGGCTGAAGGGTTTATTAGGGTTAGGGTTTGCTTAGGGTTTAGTTGCCTTGAGGGTTTAGGGTTTAGTATTCGAGGGTTTACTGTTGAGGGTTTATTCAGCTTAGGGTTTAGGGTTTAGGGTTTAGCGTAACTGCCCCATATATATTATGTATCTACCCCTATATATATAATATATATATATATATATATATGATTAATACAGTGTATGTTATTAGCTGGCTAGCTAGCTAGCTAGCTAGCTAACCAGCTGGTTAAGCATAGCTAGCTTCGCTAGCAACAATCTATCTCGTTAGCTAGCTATATCGTTAGCTAGCTAACTAGCTAGCTAGAGCTAGCTAGCTACCTAGTTAGTTGCCCACGGAGCTATCTAGCTAGCTACGCATAACTAGCAGTACTAGCTATCTATATCTATCTAGCTAGCTACCTAACTAGATAGATAGACAGCTAGCTAGATAGCTGTCAAGCTAGTTACCTACCTACCTACCTACCTATCTATCTAGCTAGCTATCTAGCTATCTAGCTATCTATCTATCTCTCTAGCTAGCTAGCTAGCTAGCTGTCAAAGACGAAAGTGTATGAATTAAATCCCCAAGGTTGTTGCAGCGTTTGCTGTAAAAAGAAAAAGAAGAAGCAAATCGAAGGCCGACTATAATGAGGCAGCCCCAAAATATGCATGCGTACACTGTCTTCATTATATATATTATATATGTATATATATTATATATAAATATAATTATATATAATATATATTACGCATATATATATATATATAATGGATTAAGCAGTAGGATGAGCTGCAGCAGCTCCTCTTCATGCAGCAGCAACTCTTTCTGCAGCTGCTGCTACGGCTGCTGCTGGTGCTGCTGCTACGGCTGCGCTGCTGCTGGTGCTGCTGCTGCTGCTGCTGCTTTTTGTGCAGCTGCTGTTGCTTTTGCTGCAGCTGCTGCTTTCGCTGCAGCAGATGCTGCTGCTCGCTGGGGCAGCCCAGGCCTTCGATATATTTCCCGCTGCTGACTGCTGCCGCTGCTGCTTTGGCTGCTGCTGCTGCTGCTGCTGCTTTAGCTTCTGCTGCTGCTGCTGCTTTCGCTGCAGCAGCAGCAGCAGCAGGCCCGACGGAGACAGAAAAAAGAATGCAGCAGCAGCGCGCACTTCGCTGCAGCAATATGCCAGCAGCAAACAGGGCTGTATAAACCCTAAATATAATATATTTTACTTTTATTGTGAAGGCTTATATTAAAATAAATATAAACCCTTACGACAACAAGCAGAAACTGCAGCAGAAACATTTTGCTGCGCCTGATTCATCTCCGCTAACTTAAGCGGCTACACAAACAGCTAGCTAGCCAGTTAGCTAGCTAGCTAGCTAGCTAGCTAACTGGCTAGCTAGCTAGCTAGCTGACTAGCTAGCTAGCTAGGTACGCGGCTCCGTACTACCTATAAACACTAAAGCGAATAAACATCTCCTCCTTAAAGGGCGGCTTTCTTAAATCTGCTTCCTGCAGCCAGCTAGCTACAGCTAGCTAGCTAGCTAGCTAGTAATAGATAGCTAGCCAGCTAGCTAGCTTTGTGGGGCCTCATCAGGTTTCCTGTGCATTCCAAGGCATCCCGTCAATAGCGATGCCCACATCGCGGGGCCTTTCGTTAGAAGAAGCTGAGCCTTGCTGCTGCTGCTGCTGCTGCTGCTGCTGTTGCTCAGTGGTCTGCTGCTGCTGCTGGTGCTGTTGCTGCTCAGCGCTCTGCTGCTGAGTGTGGTGGGTCTCTACTAGAGGTGCTTCGACCTCCAAGGGGGAAATGCTGCTGTGCTTCTGCTGCTGCTGCTGCTGCTGCTGCTGCTGCTGCTGCTCGCTGCCGTCTTTGTTCGTTTGCTGCTGCGTATCTGCTGGGGCTGTGACTGCAGCATCGTGATCGTTGCTGCTGCTGTTTTCTGCTGTAGGTGTTGCTGCAGCTGCTGCTGCATCTCCTGCAGCGGCTGCAGCATCTCCAGCTGCAGCTGCTGCTTCTCCTGCTGCTGCTGCTGCTGCTGCAGTATGCCGCTCTATTTTTTTTCTTCTTTCTTCAGTCATACCTACATCTTCTAATGTTAAACCTCTGCCCTCAGGAACGAAGACGAAAACAAACAAAGCAGACAGAGCGCTTAGAGCAGAGAAGAGAAAGAACGTCCCTGAGCATATCAACAGCAAACAAACAAACAAACAAACAAACAATTACTGTTCATAATGCTGCTCATGCTGCTGCTGCTGCTGCTGCTGCTGCTGATGCTGCTGCTCATGCTCATGATGCTGATGCTGCTGGTGATGGTGATGGTGGTGGTGGTGCTGCTGCTGATGCTGATGTTGTAGTAGTACTAGCAGCAGCAGCAGCAGCAGCAGCAATAAGCTAGGAATGAACAACGGGTGATGAACAAATAAGCAAGAAGAGACAAACAAATAAATAAATATAAAAAATAAATAAACAAATAAACAAACTGAGACAAATAATAAATAATAAACAAAGAGAGAGATAAGAAATAAAGGAGTAAGCAAACATGAAGATAAAAGTAAACAAATAAACAAAGAGATAAAAATAAATTAATAATAAATATATAATAAAATTAAACAAATAAATAAAAAAGAAATAAACAAATAAATAAGCCTGCAATAGAAACAGCAACAGAGAGAGAGAGCTCAGCACACAAATAAACAAGCATATACACCTAGAGAATAATTAAATAAACAAACAAATAAATAAATAAATAAATAAACAAATAAATATATAAATAAATAAATAAATAAACAAATAAATAAATAAATAAATAAATAAATAAATAAACCGGCAATAGAAATAGCTACGAAGAGACATCACTCAAATAAACACAAACTACAGACATATACACCTAGAGAGCAATTAAACAAATAAAATAAACAAACTAAATAAATAAATAAATAAATTAATTAATTAATTAACTAATTAATTAAACAAACCGGCAATAGAAATAGCTACGAAGAGGGGTTCTAGTGCAGATTGCATTATAAAGGCGACACTCCAGAACGCAGTAATCGTCAGACCCATGCCTACACCTCGGCAAGAGTTAGGCAGTACCTGATTAATAAATAAATAAATAAATTAATTAATTAATTAATTAATTAATTAATTAATTAATTAATTAATTATAAATAAATAAATAAATAAATATATCTATATATATATATATTAATTTATTATTAATATAGTGTATTTGTTTTGCTTTTCCTGCATTTACATAATTTATTTATTTATTATTTATTATTTTTATTTATTTTATTTATTTTATTTGTTTAATTTAATTAATAATTTATAGTGCATTAATGCGCTCTGCTATATATATAATATATATTTATGTTTTTTATATTATTCAGCAGCAGTAACAGCAGCACGAGCATCAGCAACAGCAACACCCGCGACAGCAGCAACAGCAGCATCAGCAAAAGCAGCATCAGCAGCAGCAACAGCAGCATCAGCATCAGCAGCAGGAGCAACAGAAGCACCAGCATCATCAGCAGCAGGAGCAACAGCAGCACCAGCATCATCAGCAGCAACAGCAACAGCAACAGCATCAGCAACAGCAGCAACAGCAACAGCAGCAGCACCAGCAGCAGCAGCAGCAGCAGCAGCAGCAGGTCTGTTATCTTACTTCGCTAGCGACAACAAACATAAGTGCAGCCCAGGAGACATTCCAGCAGAACATAAACACGAGCATACCGACGACTAATAAAGTTGTAGGTTTGCTGCTGCTGTCTCCTGCTGCTGCTGCTAAACCCTCTGAAGATAAAACAGATACACCTGCTTCTTGCTGCTGCAGCAAGAAACCAGACTGCAGCAAATAACAGCAGCAACAGCAAAAACACAAACAAATAAATAAATAAATAAATTGATTATAGTCTTTGTTTATTGTATACATACAATAATATATATATATGTAAATATATATATATATATATATATATATATATATTATACATAACTGTATTATTATATATACGTATATATATTGCTTAACAAATACAAATAAGCATTCATATATATATATATATATATAGCAGGCGACTTATAACTGTCTGTATGCAACCAAATTACTATTCACCTGTATGCAGTGCTCACTTCCTTTAGGGTTTAGGGTTTAGGGTTTAGGGTTTAGGGTTTAGCTGACCGCAATAACAAGGTGGCAGACAACAGCACCAAATGTTCCGCCGAGCAGCAAAAGTCTTCTACCCAACTTCTCGACCAAACACATGCAGCAAATTACTCCCATGAACTGCACATACACCCCAAATACAAGGGTTTAGGGTTTAGGGTTTAGGGTTTAGGGTTTGGGGATGTTGTGTTCATTAATAATGGTTTTCTCAAGGATTCATTATTATCATTAAATTATAAATTATAAATTATAATATAAATTATAATTTATAGTTAAACTTTTGTTTAAAACAGACAACGACAGTAATATACTTCAAGTCAAACAAGAGAAGCATCTGTAATTTTATATATTATATTAATATAATATATAAAATAGCAAATATAAACATATCAATAAAAACTATTATTTTAATTCAAACAAAGACAGCAATAGAGAGGTAAATAAACAAACTTAATTTAATTAGTTATATTATTATCATTATATTATTTTTTCATAAAGAATAATATATTATATTATATATATATTATATATTATATATATAACCCAAAAACCCTAAACTACGAATACAGATATATATAAATATATATATATATATAAATATTATATTATAAATATATTAATATAATAGTAAAATACTAATAATATATTAATAAAGCATAATAATACAAAGATAGAAGCAAAAATATAAATAAACAACGGTTTTAATTCAAACAAAGACAGCAATATACAGCTAAACAAGGAGATGAATAATAAAAGAGAATAATAATAATAGTAATAACAATAATAACATCATTATTATTATTAATAATATTATTATTATTATTAATATTATTATTATTATTATTATTATTATTATTATTATTATTATTATTATTATTATTATTATTATTATCTTACTTTCATTGCCCCTACTCCTGCTCCAGCAAGATAAGGGTCTTGAATGCCGGCTAATTTAAAAATATCGATTGCAAAATAAACAACAGAATTTGCAGCTGTTAAATTTTGAGCAACAGCGCAGCCTACTGCTGTTAAGATAGGCCGATGATGAATAGCGAGGAGACGAAGATATTTATAATAGATCTGAACAAATATAAATATAAATATAAATTCTATATATATATCAATATATTATAACAATGCAATAAACAAATAGACGTTTGTACTTCATACATTTCTATGTATTTATATATGCACTGTTAATCAGCAGATATTACAATTAAAAACAAAAGAATTGCGAGGAGACGAAGATATTTATAATATGTCTGAATAAATATAAATATAATTATAATTATAAATTGAATACATAATATATATAAATAAATAAATAAAAATTAATTAAATTAATTAATTAATTAAATACAACATTGTTTAGTTTGGCGTAAATGCAAGTGTTTGTAGAGAAAGCAATTATA